ATAAAAAAAAAAATATAACAGATGCTTGATAATAAACTTATTAGACCTTCTAGTAGCCTCTGAATCTTTTCTGTTATACTGATATGAAAAAAGAATGAAAAATCATATTTTTGTGTAGATTATAGAAAGCTTAATACTATTACAAAAAAAGATCATATCCTTTATCCTAAATAGATGAAATGCTTAATGCACTTGCTGAATCAATATGGTTTTCTACTCTAGATTTTGCTAATAGATATTAGCAAGTTAATATAGACTCTAAAGACTAAGAAAAGACTGCTTTTATTATTCAATATGGCATTTATGAATTTAATGTAATGCCTTTTGAACTTTGCAACACTTCAGCAATCTTCCAAAGATTAATATACTGAGTTTATGATAAATTTGCATAAAAATTTGTAATAGTATATTTAGATGATACTATGTCTACTCAAAAACATTTGATGAGTATTTTGAACATTTATGAAAAGTCTTTATCAGAATTTGAAAGATTGGATTATGTCTTAACATTGAGAAATGTAACTTTTGAATGCAAAGCCTACTTTTTTTAGGTCATATTATATCTGAAAATTGAATTGCTTCAGACCTTCAGAAAATAGAAGCTATTCACAATATACAACCTTCTAAAAATGTAATCCAACTTAGATCTTTTCTAGAACTTGCTAAATATATAAACAATTTATTCAAAACTTTTCAAGCATAGCTAGACCTCTTAATTATTTAATAAAAAAGGATACTGCATATAAATAGCACTCTAAACAACAAAAAGTTTTAATAAATTAAAAAAAAGACTAACTATTGCTCCTATCTTAGCTTATTTTAATTTCAAGTATCCTTTCATATTAGCTACTAATGCTTTTTATTACAGCTTTGGCAATACATTTTGCTAAATAGAAAAAGATAAAAAAGAGTACCCAATTGCCTATATGAGTAAAAGTCTTTAAAAAAAAGAAATGAACTATAATGCTACTGAATTAGAATGTGCTGCTATAGTTTGGGCAATTGAACATTTTCATAAATACCTAGGAACTGCAAAGTTTATTCTTATCACTAACCATTATGCTCTTAAATAGTGAAGGACAGCTGAATCTTAAGAATGAATTGGAAGATGGATACTTAAATTACAACCTTATAATTTCGAATTATTCATAAGCCAGGCTGAGTTTATTCTCATATAGATGCATTCTTAAGACTATTAACTCAGATATTACTAATATCACTTCAATAAATTTGGATCTATATGTTAACTTATATAACTATTTAGAATCAGACATATTGTCTAAAGAATTAACAGATATAAAAGAAAAACAACTAATTAGACAAGCCAGACATTTTGAAACAAAGCATGAACTACTATATAAAAAGAACAGAAAAGATTCTACTCATTCTCTTAGAGTTATCAAATAGACTGAAGTAAAACCTATTCTATACATGATGCACAAGTATCCTACTGCTAAACATTTAGAAACAGAGGCCATGTATTACAAGATTGCTGAATGATAGTATTGGAACCAAATGTATAAAGATGTACAAGAATATGTTCATACTTGTACAAAGTGTCAACAATTTCAAAAAGGATAAAAAAAAACTCTTCTATTTTATTCAAATAAAACAAGCTTTTGAATAAATTAGTATCTATTTAGTAGAACCTTTTTCTCTTACTAAACAAAATAATCACTATATAATTGTTGCTACAGAATACCTAACATGATGGCCAAAAGCCTAAGCTATGCCTAATGCTGATGCTGTTACACTAGTACAATTTATTTTTAAAGAAATAGTTTGTAGACATAGAACCCCTAAAATTATCTTATCTGATCAAGGACAAAACTTTATTAGTGAAACTATTCATATATTATATGAAAGGTTTCTAATCAAACATAAATTATTATCACTATACTATTAATAAACAAATAGCATGATCAAAAGATTCAACTGAACACTTTGTAAATTTTTTGTTAAAGTAAAAAGAACAGATGATTAAGACATTCATAACTTTGCTATATTATTGGCATACTGAACAAAGAAGCATGCTACTACTGGATATATTTCATTTCAACTTATTTATAGTTAACAAGCTACACTTCTGATCGAAGCTTTGATATCTGTTGAACCATTACCAAAAAGTAGTAAAAATATTAACTTACAAGACAGTATTCTATATAAAGCTTATGAGCTAATAGACAAATTACTTTAATTACAAAAAAATACAAGAAATAATATTGATAAATCACAACAAAAACAGAAACAATACTTTGATGCAAAAGTCAAAGTACAGGAATTCGAAGTAGATAACAAAGCATGGATCTAACAGAAAGAACTAGAAATATCAAAATCAGCAAAATTTGAAAATAAATAACTAGGACTATTTATAATTCATAAGAAATTAGAAAATAGTGCTTATAAGTTATGAAATAAAGAAGGAAAAATCTTACAAAACTATTACAATAATGATTGATTAGCAAAATATTATGAGAAACAGACTTGAGAACCAATAGTTGTTGTTAAAACTTAACAAATTTCTAGAAGAAATTTAATTTGAAAAGGAGTGACATAATGAAAAACATTTTTTTTTACATTTTTAGCAGCCTTGCCGATCATTTTTATTAAGAGTTTTATATATATAATTTTGTATAAAATTGGCTTAAATTTTGGTTTGACATCCCTGGCTGCTTCTATAAGTATCCAGAAGTAGTCTGCTGTACTGGCCAGATGTTAATCTGGCCAGAGGACTATACCAAGCTAGTTGTTAGAACCATAAAAGAATGGTCTTATCTTTTTTTCTATATAATTTCTGACCAAACCTAACCAAGAACTTTGTATTTTTTCTTCTTTTTCTTTTTTCTTTTTTTTTACAGCTTGGCCTTGATCCTTCTCTAAAATTTCTTTGTCTACTTCTTTTATCAGATTTCTTACTATATTACTTCTTGAAATGCCTTCTTTTTTTTTTTTGTCTGCAGAGCTAATTCTGTTTGCTTTTTTTCAGTTGGTAACTGCTTCATAATGTTTTTTTCATATATATTCAAAGAAACCATTCCATGCTGTATTTGTTCATATTGTTATAAACTCTTTAGCTTCTTTGAAAGTTTGAATGGGCTTTGTATTGTTATTTTGGCTTTTTCTTGAATTAGCCCTTTTATGCTTTTGGATCTACATTTTTTTTTCTCTTCTGCTGAGTTTTCTCATAAGATTTCTGTTAGTTCCAATTTGCTTGTTTTTTTCCAAGTTTTTTCTAAGAGCACTGATCAGGCCAAATTGATAGCTGAGTTTTCTGTAATAGCCCAACCTTTTTCATGACCTTTACAAATAGCTAAGTATTCTTGGTCTTCTTCTTGGTCTTCATTATATAGAATGCAGTATGGCTTTTTATATATATTTAGATATCTTTTTGCTAGAGTTTTCAGTACTAGTAGTTTTTTATTAACATATTTGATTAGTGTTGCAATTTCTCTATTCTTCTTTATACTCGTACATCTGACTCTGCTTTGACTTCTGACTTTTTTCCATAGTAGTAACCAGTTGTGCTCTTCTTTTTCTTCATTTGGTTCTATTTTTTGAACAGTTGATGTAAATCATTATTCTGAGCCAACTTTAAAATTTAAGATGTCTTTGACAAATTGTCTTGTTGGCCCTTTTACAATTGTTTCTTTCCAATAAAGTAATATGTTTGAACTGGATGGTAGTATTACTATAATCATGTCTCTATTTTCTATACTATTTCATTCTTTTGCTATTTTATCTACTCTAGTATTCCATTTGTTATCACTATGTCCCTTAACTCAGACTAATTCTAACTCTATCTTTTTTAATTTGAGTAACTCTATTATACTTTTTTCAAGTCATAGTTCTTTTCTTTGATCCATTGTCTGCTTCTTTTTGGCTTTTTTCCTCTTTTAAAACCTGATATTGCTGCTGCACTATCTGTATAGATCTTAATTCTTCTTTTTTTTTGGTGCTATTAAGCTTACTAACCAAATTACTAGCAATTCTGATTTTGTTGATAAGAGCCAATTTTGGGCACCTATAGCACCTTTATTAATTACTTTTTCTTTTTTGTATTAACTTGTATTCAGCCTGCTTTCATGTGATCAATATCTAAAGCATTATTTGTTGCTACTTTCTTGAATGAACCATCTGTATAGAAGATAAGTTCTTTATCTGGATTTAATTTGTTTTTTGGTTCTTAGAAATAAGAAGTTCTTTTATTTTTTTGCTTAGACATTGTTTTTTGATCAATTCTGTGTTCAAATCATAATATGTTATATCTTTGAGCTGTGCTTCTGACTCATTTATTTTAGTTCTGTTTTCTTGCTACCAGCTATGTATCATTTCTTTGTTTATTATAAGTAGTGGGTCTTTATCTTTTCTGATAAATCTTGATAATGAATTTTGAACTTCTTCTCTGTAACTCTCATCAGCAAATTTTTTTTTTTTTTTATTACACGAATTGGTGTTCTTTTTATTAAGATTAAATATTATTGAATTTTATATTATATACAAGTAAAACATTTACTATCTATGAATTTAACAAGTTTAAGTACTTTCTTGCTTTTTTGTAATTTATTTAAAATTATTAGACTTCTTTTCATTCGGTGTTCAACAATTTTTCCTATTGCCAGTTCTGAAATAGTATTGTTTCTCCACATAGATTGGGTATACCAACACCATATTTCATAGATAATATTTATATGTAGCCATAATGCAGCCTCTCGCTCTTTAGAGAGTTGGATATTTGATGCTGTAAAAATCTCTTCGATAGTTGTAGAAAGAACCTTTTCTGCTGGGAATCTAAGTGCCTTATATCCTTTTTCCCAGATAGTTTTGCTAATATTACATTTTAAAGCAAAGTGAACTAGTGTTTGTTTTTGATCTGGGCAGTTAGAACAGTTTTCGTTAATGTTTTTGTTTACATGCATAAGCCTATATCCCAAAGGAAGTGCATTGTTTTGTAACCTCCAAAAAATATCTTTTTTCTTGTTTAGAATTCCTATTGTGTTAATTCAGGTGAAAGGATAGCTAGTATCGACTGGAGTTTGAACTGCTGTAGGTAAAATCAATTGAGTCTTTAAGAAATCAGTTGCATTCTTAACTGAAAATTGGGAACCTGGCCAGTCTCCAATTGTAAGATCTGACAAATTCCAAGGCCAGTTGTTTGTATTTAGTATTGAGCCTTTTAATCTTTTCCA